ATTTACTAAATTAACAGCATAAAAAGAAATGGAACAGAATGGAAACAATTGCTTCTCAGATTTTTTGTAACGACAATAAATCAAAATGTTTTGCTTTTATGGGTTCCCTTCCATTCCTTCTTTATATTTCTGTGCCACATCATTTTCATATTACTGTAATGCAAGGATAGATGCTATGCTGTCTCCTTCCTTTGTCACTTAGCATTATGCCCAAAGCATGTCTGCTGGTCCTTTTCTTTTTCTTTTTCTTCTTTTTCTTCTTTTTTTGGGTGGGGGGGCGGGGAGAGGGCTTGGTTTTCTTTTGTTACTGCCAAGCCCATTTCCTTCAACATCTCTTCGTGCCCTTCTGCCCATCTCTGCAGGTCTTTACCAACTCAGTATGGCCTGCCCATGCCACCTCTTCAAAACCACAGACTCAAAGTCCCTCATTTCTCACTCGCATGGGCAGCATGTCCCCTTCTGCCTACTTGTCACCCCAGGCGTGCATGTGTCTTGCCTGGCCTGCTCCACCTGTCTCTCTGTTGGTCTGCCTATGCGTGTCATCCCGAGAGGCCTTTTCCCTGTGGTCGCTCTCCTCTTCCCTCAGGGCAATGAACACTTGTGGTTTGTGTTATCAGTATTTTAATTTCTAGCAGTATGGAATCTGGTTAATGATGATTCATGGTTTCAGAACCTCCATCCAATAAAATGTTTCCTGCAGCCCTATATGTTCTCTCTTCATTTTGCCCACAGCAATTATTATCTGCTACAAGTTATTGGTAAACAGGAAACAAAGTGATGAACCTATTTGCTCCAGCTTAGGATCTCTTAGCACACTAAATGGAGTCATGTGTAAGAGTAAATGGCACTGGGACAGTGACCACAAAGGAAGTGGTCTGTCTTCCTGGCTTCCCCTGGGGCAGATATTACCCTGCTTCATTGCTACCAGCCTCTGATCTATGCAAGGAAAGTGCTGGCTGCCCTTTGCCAGAAAGGGTTGTAGCAATCATTTCACAAATGATCAAACAGAGGGACAGACAAACTCAGAAGAGTTTGTCAAGGTCACAATCTGTAAGAAATCTAACCAGGACTAGGAGGCAAGTCTTTCTGACTCCTAATACAACACTTGCCCTATATTAAAAAAAAATTCAGCTTTCAAATATAGTGACAATGATCCACAGTAATCTGTAAAGCCTTTTTTCCCTTTTAAACAGGAATCCACCACAATGTTAACAAGGCCATGCCAAGGCCTTTGCTCTGTGTGTGTGTGTGTGTGTGTGTGTGTGTGTGTGTACACTTGCATGTGCACACGTGTTGTAAAAATAAAGATACAAAGAGCACACTACAAGTCAAAATATGCCTTTAGTCTGCTCACATTTTGTGAATATAAGTAATGCTATAGAATTAAGCCTTCAGTACAGTCTTAGATTCTCTCCTAATTTCTTCAGCAATTTTATCTATGAAGAACATGAAAAAAAAGGCGAGAGTTTCCTGAGGCGAAGTGAGGAGGTCTGGTGTAGGCACCTTTGGCAGCTTAACCAGGGCGTTCTTTTCGTGTTTAGATTACCGCACCACCCCCCCACACACACACACACACACACACACACACACACACACACACTCCCCACCCCAAATAGAAGGAAACACAGACAACTATGCAGTATGGTATGTCCTGCCCCCATGTGGACACAGATGGAATTACCCGCGGAGAACCAAAACCACGCTGGAGGTAGGAATATTTGCAAAAGCCTGCAAGATGTACAAGGAATAGGAACATCTATTAACAAGATTTTAAGAAACTAGAAAGTCATATATAAGGTGTGTGTAGCATTTGGCAACGAAACATCCATAAATGAAATATATGCCTGCCCAGACATATAGGACGGAAAACAAATATAATTTCCCTGTTAATATCTGATATCTGTGCTGTTATCTTTAAATTATTATTTCATATTAACCCAAGGAGAGAAGATTTTCTTAAATAAATATGGGAGTTTATCTCTGTTATTACATCAATTTTCACTGAAGTGTCACTTGAAAGACAACTTTTATAAAAGTGATTGAGGAGATTGGACTTTTAGTACAGGACCTACCCACAGGTGAAGTAACCATTCTTTAAAGGCTCTTGGAATATATCCTAAGAAGACATTCTGACACCTGAAATTTGCACAAATAAAATCGTTTCTTTAGTTTGAGGGTACTGTCTACATAAAGTCCCAGTTAAAATACAAATGTTGAGTGTTTTCATATTTTACTGTTGCTATTCTGAATAGTTAAACTGATAATCTGATAGGATTACCTAGCGGTCACTTATGTCGTCCAAGAGAAGTGAGATTTTAGACTGGTAAATTTTGATTAAAATAAAGGTAATGACAAAAAGGACCAGGGCAGAGCGTTTTTAATTCTGTTCCTTTGAGCTTCAAGACCTTCCAGAAAGATGAATGAGGACACTGACCAAGAGGGGCTCACATTGCCCACACTTGCTCCAACTCATGCAGCCCAGCTCCTTAGTTTTTGACGTTTCCATAAAATTTCATCTGCAGAAAAGTTTCCTCAACAAAGAAAAAAATAAAGAAACCCTTAGGCTTAGAGCCCTGAGCAATGTTCTTCAAAAGGAGTCAAGAGTGAAAAACATAAAGTCCTGAGCATCAGAAAGAAGGGTGAGGACTCTGCTTTGGAAAAGTGGAAGAAGAATTTTTAAAAAAAATGTTTTTTAACTTCTTGG